AGAAGAGCAGAGCACAGGAGGGAGAAAGAGAGTGGGAAAATCAGGGGTGATTAAGATAGGCAATGAGAGGAATGGGTTACTCTGTACAAAGTCATGCAAAACCACTCCAAACCGAGTACTAGATTAAAAAACCTAAACAGCCTTGGTTTATGCATCTCAAGTGAACCTATTAGCTCAGCACATTGTCTGGGAGTCAAGAACATTGCACCTCCAGGCTGCAGCACTGACATTACGGTGGGGATGGTTTGTCTCTATGGAGAAAGCAAGCAGCGAGCTCCCACAGAAACAATGGTGCCATCAGTTCACCTTGCAGGGGACCACCCAGATGGCCATAGTTTTCTCCTCCTTTTTGAAAACATTTCTAGGCCAGATGAATAGAGCTCTTTCATACACCCTAGATCTCCCCAGTCACCTCTCAATCTGTGCATTCCATAACAGAAGTGGGCAGAGCCAGTTAATAATTGATAGATTTGCCATCTTAGCTGTGCATTATCTCAACATCCCATTTGGCAACAGGAAGCCTTATAAAATCTTGGTATAGCACTTAGATTCTCTATCTTCAAGAAATATACTTTTATACTATCTACACTTCTCAATTTTTTAAAAAATACCCTTTTCTGCCCTTCTGTCCCTTGAAATTCTTTAAAAGCAAGCTAAATAAAACATTAAAACATTAAAAAATATTAAGTGTCCTTAAATATCTGTTAATTAGAGTTAAGGGGAGAAAGCTAACATCAACTAGCAGAATTTGTGCAATTTTGGCAACTGAGTTTTTAATTAAGATTCCACATTTGCTAAATGAGTGATTATATATAAATGATCTGTCTTTTCTCTGACCCAAAGTCCTTGCTCAAAGTGCTCTTCTTCCCAGTCCCCAGCCTGGCTCAGGAAGCGATCTCTTGAACAGCCTGTGCAGCTGTCTATGCCCCAATCTGCTGCTTTTCTCTCCTTGTCAAAGTCCACGTCAAAGGCGGCATCTCATGTGTCTTACCTGCTTGCCTAATCTCGTTTGAAATGTGAATCTCCATAGCAGGAGTTAACTACCCTGTCATCCCTGCTGCCCAAGCGTTGAAGGAAACATGTGTCCCTTCTGAAGGAAAGGGCACAAGCACTGCATTCGGTCACTCAGGCCCTTCCCATCACCGAGCATGGAGTTCACTGTACAGCAATAGCAAGCAACATGGACACATCATTTGGTCTTAGGGTTTTCTGGAATATGTCTTTGCGTATACTTCCTTTGTACATTTGGTCCCCTATAACTGGATTTTGCAAAAACCCCTCTCACTGTACTAGTATTTATCCAGATTCTTCCAAGTGAAGAATTTACTTTTTAAAAGTAGGGAAGTCCTTGTTTTAACAAAGATAGCTAAAAAATTCTCAGTATGATTTGACAATACAAAAGTCCGTCATGTTACAATATGGATTTGGTTTCTGTTATTGAAAGATAAAGGTGTACATTTACACTAATGGCTTGATGCCAAAGATGTAAAAAACCCAAAACATTTTACCACCACGCACAATAAGTTTGTTTACAACAGATGCATTTTTTGAAGGGGAGGAAAAATATTTTAAGCTTTTCTTTACAGAATATGAAGCAACCTAAGCCCACTATCACTACTGACTTGCAGAAAAATTCACTCTAATTACAGGGCCACACCCAGTACTCCCAAAATGGATGGGCATTAATTGCAGTACTTAAATTTCCAAATAACTAGCATACTGTCACAGAGCACCTCTCTACTGACCCTTTATGTAAGACGGTCTTGTTACTGCTCACTTAATAGCTGGAGAGGGCACCTAGCAGAAGTGTGGGGCTTCCCAAACATACTGCAGGTGTGCAGATGCACTTGTGTGCTAGGAGGATAGAAGAGGGAAGGAAGGAGGAGGAGGAGAGAGGAAGGAGAAAGGAGGAGAGGGAGAGAGGGAGAGGAGTAGGGGGTGGGGGGGAGAGACAGAGAGGTGGGGGAGAGAGGGAGGGAGGCTGATTGTGAATGTGTGTACTGTCAGGGAGCTCTTCAGGGAAGCCCAGCCCTTGTACTCAATTTCCCCTTCACAAGGGATAAACAGGCAATTACGCATCCTTTTATATTTGATGGCCAAGTGCTGAACTGGAAAGCACACTATTAGTTTGTGTCCCTTCAGGGCCAGGGCAGTAAGTAGCTGAGAGAGCTGGGGCTGAGGCAGAGAGGTGTCCTCTGCAGTTAGTGTGACAGTCTTGTCAGCAGCATTCACGTTACTGGAAGGTAATAAAGTGACAAGTAAGTTATTAGAAAGATATGAGGTGAAATTGAACAGAAGCTGTTCACTGCTCAGCCCTAGCCCTTCCTTTCCTCTTTTGTAATGGTCCACTGTTTGTTATGAACCGAGCCTTGTCCTGATACCCTATAGAAGATTTTTCCTGCAGTAAAGGTCAAATGAATTTACAACAACACTTTAGAGAAGAATAAAGATAGTTTTATGACAACTAGAGTGTGTTGCTTAAAAAATATATATAGCATTATAATCAACAATAATGCTGGTCTAATTCAGAGTGCTGGTAAAAATGCTTAGTTTTTTTTAAACCCTCTGTTTTTGGGCTTTTGGCTTTCTCAATAAATCCCCAAAAGACAGTAGTTGACATCTAGTTACTGCAAAATGACTGTAAAAAAAATCATTTTGTGCATGATGTGGGAAGGATGACAAAAGGTCACAGGGCAGATGGGCATTTGGTAGGTAATTCAGTCATCAGTTCAGCAGGATTCTCATAATACTTTCTGACAATTAGCATCAGGGCAAGCAACTCTCCAATGCCAAGAAATATGAAAGTGAGTTTGGAATCAATCAAATATGGTCTTAACAGCAACATGAGCAAGCACAGTTTTACCTCTGAGGAAAAATAGGAAAAGTTGCTTTTATGCAGTTGGGATGGATGGTGTATGGACTAGTTTCGATGAAGAGATGGTCACCAAGCACTACCCATCACAGCTCCGACCCATACCAGTGTCTCTCACACCTGCTCCTCCACTTGGATCACCATTAGAAATGTTTCCTCACCAAGCTTTCCTATAACTTAGGTTACTCTTTGCATCTTTTTACTCCCAGGAGGACTCTAAGAGTCACTTTCTACTCAAAAGCAATAGAAGGGCAAACCCCCCAAAATCTCAAAACTGTCCCTGCTGGCTCTCCTGGCCCCTCAGAACTCCTACTGTTCCGTGCAGCTGACCTTGCTCTTCCCAGGTGTGTTCAGTGACTCGAGTCTCAGGGAGCCATGTAGGCAAGGCTTCCACACGTGGTCACCACCGCTGGGCAGAGCTGTACCACACTTCTCGACAAACTTCTGGTGCATTCACAGCTACCCCAAACCAGAGCAGGAATCCGCCCTCCACTGGGTGTCACTCTGTGGAAGCAGTTATCAGCCTGTCCATCTCAATCTGATTACTAGTGTCTTTATGTTTTTACTGCCAAAGGCCCCATTCTCCTTTACTTGGCACATGTCCAGGCTGTGTGGGGGGCATTTTATCAGGTGGGAACCTAGTACATATCCTGAGGATGCTGCTGGACCCATCCATTCTTGATAGAGCGTTTTAAAAGAGCACTGTCTACAGGAATGGGGCTGTTAACCAGCTAAATGCCTTCCTCCACTCACTGGAAAGGGCCTGGAGATTCATAACCAAAGAAATCCACCACAAAGAATGTTTTTGTTCTAAGAATGTTTTTCAAAACAATGTCACATTAAGGGAAACATTTCACACTCTTAAATCTTACAGCTGCAGCTAGGACCTGGCATGAGTTACATTGGGTTAATTTATTTAAATACAATTGCTAGAAAAACTAAGGTCAAACTTTTGATCACATTTACAAAACCAAAGTACTTATTATCCTTTTTTCTCCCTCTGTCTTCCTCTCCACGGCATGCAGATGCCCCCGAAAGTGGACTAAGCCTTTCTGATATTTACAAAAACATATTTTAAAAGGATGAATACAGCAAGTTTCAACATCAGTTAGAGAACATGTACAATAATACTGCCTAATTTTGTACCTGTGATAAACCCTGGCTATAATCAAACAGGAAAAAAATCGCTTGGGTGAAAACCTACATCCTTATTAATTTTCAGTCAGCATAAAATGAATGCAGCCAGAGAGAAACTGTTTCACGACAGGAGGCACCCATGACAAAGTAAATGAGAAGGAATGGGCAGAGATGAAGAGCTGAAGGATTAAATGCAGATCCCTTTTTCCTTCCTGTTTGCACATAAGCCTGGGGACCACCATCTTAAGGAGAATTACAGTTAGGTCAAATCACTGCACAGACACACCAAGAAGCAGAAACACCTTGAGTCCAGGGAACTGTACATTTCATGATTTCACACTATATGCACTACACGTCCTTCCACTCACCCCATCCCTTGTAAATAAACTGGCTTTACACTGCGAACCATGACTGTTAAGAAGGCCACCCTAACAACTGCGTACTTGATGCACAAAGTAGGAGCAAGCAGGAGAGAGAATTTAAAAGTGCTAGCTACCCAGGATTCACTGCCATTTCTGACCAGAAAAACAGGTAAACACATTCACGATTGCAACCAAGGGAAATTCTGCTTTTAGAATCTTATTACTTCTGTTTTCTTTTTCCTCACTGGGTATCAACATTAGCTGAGTTTGTGGCAAGTAACAACACCGATTCTAAGCTTGGTATATTGGCTGATGTGAACTCCGGACAGGGCTGTCATTCATCCACTAGGGCTATCTGAGCGTTTACCTAACATGAAATTAAACAGGCTAAACAATGATTCTGTACAGATGAGCTCCACTCTCTCAACCAAGAGTGCAAATTTTAAAACTTGCTGAAATAAAAAATGTGTATTAATTTTAATATTAGATACAATGTAGTCAATGGTCTGGGAAATGCAAAGACTCCATAACCTCTTGGTGGGATGCTGAAAGTGTTTTCCACCCTTCTGGAATCTAATCATTGATAAGAGAGCAACAGCGCAATACAGAGAACGCTAAGAGGACCAAGATGTTTGCAAACAAATGTTCATTATTCTAGTTCAGTCTTTCACAAACATACTGTACAGAGTCTTAAATGGTATAAAACAAAGGAAAACATCTCTGTCTATTCAATTTAACACAATACCAAAATGAAGCAATTAAGACTTTGGGGAATTCAAAAGTACAAGAAAACAAAACGGTTATTACTAATTCCTCAGCTTTTTACCGTAAACATTTGTCATCTAACAGACATAGCGTTTGATATAGTTTCTTTTGTAATGCAAATACTTTTGCTCTTTCCTCACTGTAGAACAAATGAAGAACCAAAGGAACCTCAATAGAACCCCATTGCATCCTCAGGAGGAGGCGAGAAGATAAAGCTCATATATATATGAGAGCTTATCTTTTAAGAATCTATTGTTTCTGAAATTTTCACAAATAAAAAACACTGAATCCCCAACAAATGATGCTTATTTTTGGAAACAATAAATACTGTGAGGTACAATAAATCCTACAGGAATAATGACAACAGAAACATATTAACAATTTCCTTTGGCAAATTTAACGGAATTGAATGCTGATATGAACACAAAAAAAAATTACAAAACATGGAAAATGGAAATAATACAAAAGGCTGAAACAAAGTGGTATTTCTAACTTTTAGACTCATAGGCGAAATGTCTGAGGCCATTAAATGGAGAAAACAAATACATTCTCTTTATATTGTGTACTGTTTTGATAAAATAGTCCTTGTTTATCTTTCCCCTCCCTCCACTTAAAAGAAAAAAAGAGAAAGACAACAAAACACAGCCTGCAATGCACCCTCTCCTGGTTTTGGCTGCAGACTGGATTTGAGTAAATATCATCATTTAGTCAGTATGTTGTGGTAGCTGAGGCTGCCGATGTGGTTAACCAGCTCAGGCAACGTGTAAACATCGGAAACAAAACAAAACAAAACAAAACAAAACAAAACAGGTTTGGAGCAGAGTCTACCCCCTTTCTCACTCTCAATTGCTTGGTTTCAGGCTTGCTTTCATTTCTCTCTGACAAATTCATTTGGGGAAACACAAAACACTACACAATAAGATTCTATCTTCTGCCCTCCCTCCCCTGCCTTCCGAAGGAGTGCTGTTCAATTCAAGTCTAGCACTGTGTTCAGTGCTCCAAGCCCTGTTGCTGTGAACGGCTTTTGATTTTGTCTATCAAACAGGACTGAATCAGTGCTACTGCGGAACTGGTGACAAACGAGACAGCCACACAACACACCCACCCGACTCAGACTTTCTCTCTTTTTAACAGTTTAGGCCTTTGAAAAGAGTGTTCAACTCTTTGACTGTATTCAGCCTTGTTCCATGGTGAATAATTTGGGCTTTTGTATCCTGAAATATTATCCTGCCTTTAAAGGAGAAATGCCTGGGCTCTTTCACACCACATAATTTTGTTTTCCTTTTATGTAACTTAACATATAAGCAAGAAGGATGCAGTGTTGATTCTAATAACATTCGGCACTTGAAAGAATCACGTTTTTTTTTTTTAAAAGCGGTTTTCTGGTGGCCGACAAATTGGCTTGTGGTTATGTTGAGTGACTAATTGTATTTTCTTTCCTGGAAACTTGTGCAAAGTTGGCAGTTTTGTGTTAACACTAATACTTTTGTTTGGCATTCATGCCCTATACTGACCAGACCATTTTTATACAAGTGGATTTCTTAAAAAAGACACTTACTGAAGTATGGCAATAGTTTAAGGATAAAAAAGAAGCATGGATATTACACATCCCCTTGTAGTGTATGAAAAAAAGTGCATGACTGGATTTATGTACTAGTACAGGACATTTTTTAAAATCAGATCTGTGCTGTAAAGCATGCCAGCACCTCTTTATCACTATATCTAACAGGTAGTAAAAACAAGACCATGTTTTCTTTTTTTAAAAAAAATGTGCATTAATGCTAACATAAATGAATAGAGCTAGCCAGCAAACTATTTTTTTCCTGCATATCTAACAGCTGGATGTAACTGTAAAAATTAAACAAAAGAGTTAAACGACCATCAATACAACTGTTTTACATCATTGGCCTCTCAAGGCTAAATATTTACAGGTGCATCTGCCATGCTTTAATTGAAGATTCTCTCAAAACCTTAACGATCACAAAAGACAACTATAAGAAGTTCCTCTTTGTTTCTTTTTTCTTTTCTCCCTTTTATTTTTGCAGGCAACAGTCATGGGTACAACAAATTGTCTCCTTGGAGAAGACCATGAATTATTCTATCAAAATTGGGGCTAGATGCAGGCTTTACGTGTGTGTTTAAAGGGGTAGTTTTCACCCCCAAATTAAAGATTCCACCCCTTTCCCAAAACTATAAAGGAAAAAGAAAAAATTCAAAAGCACCTAGTGTTTATCCTTTTACCTAAAGAAAATACGTGTGTACGCGTGTGTGTAGACACAGAGGTATACATATGTACACACTACACACCTGCCGACATACGTAAGCGCACACGGACAACGGCAGTTCCAACATGTAGGCCATCTGGTGAGAGCTGGCATTTGTAGTGTCCATTCTGGGACTAATCTATTGAAGTGAAGGGAATGTTTTTGTGGAGATTAGGGTTCTGACTGTGCCGATTTCGGCTTCGCACAGAGGAAAACATCATATTGCAACCGGGGACTTTGCACTTGTGCATTTCCCGCAAATGCACGGTTTTGTAGTGCACCCTCAGGGTCCCTTTGTTGCTGTACATTTTGTGGCAAATGTTGCACATGATCCCGCCATTGCTCCCAGACAAGCTGCTGAACATGAGTGATCCTGCAACTTCAGCTCCTAGGCTGCCTGGGAGGGCGGGGGCCTCAGCCTTGTGTGCCGACTCCCCACTGTCACTCGTCCCATCAATGTCATCGAGAAGAATCCCCTCATCACTGCCTGCATCAGATTCTCTGGAGGAGTGGATACTGCTGCTGGACTGGAGGCTGGAGGTGGTGCTCAAGTCAAGGACCATGTAGTCCTCCGTCATGCCTCTCCCGTACCCGTTCAGGTGAGAGTCTTCCGTCCCTGCGGGAGATGAGGTGTCTTCCCTGACATCGAGCCCCAGGGTGTGCTGGGCACCATAGATCTTCACCAAAAATTCATCCCGGAGGTCCTTGCTAAGGGAGGGCTGTGACGAGTCCAGGCCCATGTCATCGAGTTCTTTGGTCAACAGTTTACGATGCAGATTTATGTTGGCACTGTGTCTAGGAAAACAAGAGGGAAGGGGGGTAGGTGGCAGGGAGTGGGGAGGGGAGAAAATGGAGAGCATTTTAAAATGGATTCGGCTTTCCCCAGGCATTGCATAAGCACATTCATTCTATACCACTACAAAAGCAAGCATTGTGCTATGGAGTAAGGGGTGGAGGTGGGAGGTGCATAAGGGGAATGCTTAGAAGAGTAGGATCTTCAATGCTAGGATCAATCAGTGTAAACCCATGCACCCTTTCCTCACTTTTCCTGTTAGGGTTACTATGCAGCAGCAGCAGCCTTCAAGGGCCTCATAGAAGGAATTTTAGAATATACGTACAGTAAATAGAACAAAGAACAGAGACTTTCTGCTTGACTGAAGAGAAAAGTCTAAATTTACCTCAAAACAAGCCCTTTCTTCATACAGCAAACACTGTATTGAGGTATAAAAATATCTACTTTTAAAAAAGGAAATGGTGTAGCTAATTTAGATTTTATTAAAAAAAACCGAAATCTCCACCCCCACTCTTAAGTTTCAAGTAAGAAAAATTTTGCCTTGTTAGTAATTTAATAAGTTAAAAAGACTCTTGAACAACATAAGTCCATTTCTCAGAAGGATCTGAGATCTCAGTTAAATCTAACAGCAAAACATATTCATTTTTCAGAAGTTGCTACATTTTAAAGTTTAAATGTTTTCATCAAATAATTCTATTTCAAAATTCTTTAAAACAAAAGTATAAAAATTATGTTTTAAAACACAACCCACTCACCCTTTAAAAAATTATACTAAACAACAGAAAAAAAACCCCAAAAGGACAAAATTAAGACACAATAAGTACAAACAAATCAAGCACAATAACATATAGTCCCTCTGTTTTAACAACTGGAACCTATACTTCTTATACAAGCAAAACTACTGTCCACTGAATGTTCTGCTTGTGTTAAAAAGAAAAAGACAAGATCTGTCCCAGAGCATCCATAGGGACATCATGATTTACAAAGCCTGATATGTTATTATTTATCTGAAAACACTGTGTTTGTATTTACATCCCCCATTTATTTTTAAAATGCTCTTGGGCATATACCTCTCTCCAACTGTAAAGGCTCAGATATTTTACAAGGGCCTAAATTGAAAGCTACCCTTCCAAAAATGAACTGATAAACGGGTAAATAAAGCTTCTCAATATTGGCAGAAGCTCTACAAAATAACTGTGATAACAGAAACGACCTGAATGGTCGGAATAAAGTCCAACAGACTTATAATTAGAAAGTATGGAAGATTAGAACTAGCGCTCTGTTTGATGACAATCATTGCTACTAATTCCTACAGATGGTTGAGAGGTATGTGCTTCAGAGACAGGAAAGGTGGGAAAGCTTCTCCACCCTTCCACACAAGACAATATATAGCACTCTGGGTTTAAGGGCTGAGGGCACAGCCCTCTGCACACTGCACTCGGGAAGGCCGAGCTTACCTTGTGATAATAAGATCAGCTTTCTAATCTTTTGCTAAATCGATCACAAAAGAAAGCAAGAATGAGAGACAGAGAGAGAGAAAAAGAGAGAGAGAGAGAGAAAACAAATTCACATTCTAGACATCTGGTTTAAAAAAACAAACAATAAAATAGGGATTTAAAATGTTTTGATCACAAAATAATTTTCTGTCATAAGCGATCATCTCATATGCTGCCTTGATGATTTTCAAATCAGCTGCATAATCCAAAAATCATAAATCAAATTAAGATAAACCAAATTCACAGTATCATCATCCATAAACAAACTCCAAGCAGACACATGCAAGGTGAGGGTATGTGAATGACAAACAGAAGCTGTCCCCACGGTCCCTGCAGACCATCATTGCCTGTTCTCTTGGTGTTAAATGACTTCAAATGCAAGCGCGCAGGAGAATCCAGGAAATGCCTACCATGGAGTCTTTACCTTGACATGTGAGCTCAGCATCACTAGGGTTATAACGAGGGTTATAACAGAGTCGCGCTATTTATGTACTATCACTCTATTGATAAAACAATCTGCCAACTATAAGCAGCTCAAGAAATCTGATCCCTCAATTTATCATTTTTAACACCTCCCCCGCCTTAATTTCACAAACACACATTTTGTGGTGACTGTGATCTAGAACACTGTGTTGTTTCTCACACATCTGCAGTCACCACTTCCTAGGTTCACTGCCAAGAAAGCCACAGTCAGACACAGTAGTCGCACCAAGACACACTGACTAAAGAATAAATTAACATCGACAAAAGGACACACTGCTCACCCGGATGGACACCTCTTCCCTAAAACAACTTGTGAAATTACACATCTCGGCTGATATGTTACCAGGAAGAGATTTTTTTCTTCATTTCTCACTCACAGCAGTTGAAATTTGTAATCTAATTAGATGATGTACCAGCCCTCAATATCTGTCAGCCAAACGATGTGCAGAAATGTGCAGACCAGCTCTGGCACTCTGCTCAAGTGTCCCTTTTCCGCTGTCAGCAGTACTGTTGGCCTCTGCTAATATAATTACATTGACTTTTATTCAATTAAGTGCCATCCCTCATTTTAAAAAAAAGCTACTTTATCAATTGATTCAGGTGTAATGTAATAATAAAGATGAACTCACGGCAGTGCATTAGCTCTGCTGTTCATAACTTCAGTACATGAGTTCATTCATGGTAGTCGATTTCCATTATGCAACCACAGTTCAAGAGAATTGATTCTTTTATGTTCATTTCTTAATCTATTTCATTTTTGTTTAATAATCCTCCCAAATGCCATATGCAAAACACTTGAAGTGCGGACAGGAAAAAATGGGTTGTGGAAAGCCTTCTGGTTCATTCTCATGAGAGTAGGCTTGGAATTTTCTGACAAACTCAAGTCAGATTATTGAGCTGGAGAGAAGGAATGCAAGAGGAGAGAAAGAAGAGACTCATGCTTCAGAGACTGCTGATCCTGTTCTCCAAGTGGTTCGAGTTCAGTTCCACAGAACGAACAAAAGGCAGGGCTTGACTTTAACAAAGAACTACTGTGGGAGTCTCCAATCAGTCAGTCCAAACCATGAACTGTCATAAAACACTGTCCTCGCGAGACACAAAGACCTAGGGTTAATAGCAATTTGAGGAATATTATAAGTTTATCTGGGTCAGCAAAACTTAAGAGGTGAAAAGAAAGGGAAAATGAAATGACGGAAGAGACAGAAAGTCCCACCTACTGGAAATCACAAAGTACAGAGAAGACCCTCAGATTGGAAGGCCAGAGAGAGAATAAGTGGGAAAAAGAATCTGTAAAACAACCAATTTGGAGTCTCCAAATAACTTCTTTCTACAAATAAATTTAGTATTCATAATATTTATCTTCAGAAATGAATAATCCTTAACAAAAATCTAGACTGAATTAGAATGCCTTGTAATTTGTAAGAATGTAATTAGTATGAAAGTCATTCTACCTGCTCTGATGAGGTAGTCAATATTGATGTACAAAGGCAAAGTTCTCTTACAGGAAAGAGAAAAACAAAATGAATGGATGGAGAGAAAAAATGAGTTTGTAAATATAAAGTTAAGGATTAACACAGTGTTACAAAATTTAGCCCCAAGAAGGCTATTTTCAAGAATACAAACTATATATGTATACAGTAATTAAATTGTGTATATCCTGCAGATCAAGTAGAATAATTTGCGCATAGGAGAAAGTACAATTATTTGCTTTCAATCAGTAAAACAGATCAGTCTTAAAGAAGGCTTTTCCAAAATACACTGCAGAAAGTAAGACAAAAACCCCAGGGCAGAAGCAAGGAATGGGGCATTTAAGAAGAGACACTGGTAAAAAGCAAGGGGTAATCGCAACCCCCCACGCTTCAGTGTTGTACGTGAGGCATGAAAAGCCCTCTGACGTAGGCTACACTAGGAATTTAAAATGTTTCCTCTGAACTTATGTGCTCTTTCCATACTGTGAATTTATCAAAAGCCTCCTGAAGACTAAGATCCCTAGAGCAAAAAGTAATAATAAAAAACAAAAAGCATCAACATTTTGGATTGGGGGAAACTCAAACTTCTTTTTTTATTCAAAATACTGAGTGAAAGTCTCTGAATTATAAGTCTTTTTCTGTTTCTTTGATGAAAACTTTACCTTATGAACACAGATGACATGAAATTTATCATATGTAGTCAAATAAATGCAAATGCCCTTTAGAGAAGGAACTTAAATCCTAGCCCTGCTTTGGACTTTTCTCACGTTTCTTTTTCCCACTTGTCCAAATGCCTCATTGGACTTAATGCAATGTTTCATAAAAGTGAAAAATTTAAGACAAAAATAATTTGTTTAAAAGGAAGGTGTTTTGAGCATCCCGTACTGGGAATGAACCCAGAGCCTTCACACTGACCCACACACCCAATCCCTTATTTTTCTATTGTAAGACAGGGTCTCACTAAGTTGCCCAGGCTGGGCTTGAACTTCCAATTCTCCTACCTCATCCTCCTGGAGTACTGGGATTATAGGCATGTACCACCAAACCTGGCTTGTTTTTGAGTTCTTAAATTTGGCTTTGGTATGCAAGGAAAGAACTGTGTTTGTTTTTGTATGCACCTGTTTAAAGAAAGGTTTCTTGAGTGGGTTAGAAAATCAGACTGACAGTCAGAAAATGAATAGTACTAAATCAAACTGTATGTTACAAGCAATGTTCAACATGTAATTCTTAAGTCTTAATCAGTTTTAGGCCATTCTAAACTTAGTGAATTGAAAGAAGACACTTGGCAATTAATTACAATGCCTTGATTAAAATGGAATTGAGGCTTCACTTTGAATCAATTTTTGCCTTTATTTTCCTGCTGGACTTTGCCACTCAACACACATATTCAGATTTTTCAAATAACACTGGGAATGATCATAGCATTGTAGACATAGCAGACAGCCCACGTGGATGTGTGTATCCCTTGGTATTGTCTGTAGTCCCCACTTTACTAAAATCCACAAATGCTTAAGTCCCTTCCGTAAAATGATGTGGTATTAGTATAAAGCCTAC